AGTGTTAGTGCAGCGCTTGGGTCACGAGGGGTCACTTGGGTCATCATTTGGAAATAGCCGGACATACCTTGAGTGCCAGTGTCAGGGTGTGTGTGTGTGTGTGTGTGGTGTGGCGGTACAGGGTGTGGTGTAGTGTGGCGGTACATAGTGTGGTGTAGTAGTGTGGTGGTACAGGGTGTGGCGGTGGTAGGTAGTTCTTACAGTGTAGTGCCTCAGAGAGAGAGGGGTGAAGGGGGGGGTAGGGAGGACAGGAGGAATTTGGGTGAAGTGAAAGGAGGATAGAGGAGGACGCAAGAGGATATAGGAGTTGGGGAGGTTAAGGGGTTGGGGGTGATGATAGGTAGACGGGAATAGTGTAGGGAAGATAGGGAAAGGAGTGGGAGGCAGGCTGGTGAGAGGGAAGGAGGGAAAGACAGCCAAGTGGGGGAGGAGGGAGGAAGGTGCCGGATGCAGGCTGATTGGAGAGGGAGGGGAAGTGTACAGGCTGGCGGGAGGGTGGATGGTACAGGTCACGGAAAGCCCATGGGTGGATGTGTGTGTGTATTTTGGTTCACTTCCGGTGCCAGAAACGGTGTACAGATCTCGTGTGTGTGTGTGTGTGTGTGTGTGTGTGTGTGTGTGTTGAGTTATACACCTGGGTCGTCATTCAGAGAGTTTTTATCGGTCCAAGTCTACACAATTTTAACTTAAATCTGACGCGGTAGTTGTGGCGTATGATCAAAGCATGGCGTTAATAGAGAGTATTGTTGGGTCTTAAGGTGTGCAGGCAGGCGAGCGGTGAGAAGTTGTCTGGACTATTTCTCAGGAACTATTTGCAATAGTGCTTGGAGAAAGGAACAGACAGACAGACAGAAACAGACAAAGACAGAGAGATAGAGAGACAGACAGGTAGAGACAGACAGACAGACCCGAAAATAAGAGATAATTTGAGGTTTTGTAACGCATTTGACCTTTGACCTCAGCTTAACGTGAACTTGAAACTGAAAATCTTATCCAGACGATTTGGGGGCAAAATAGTGTACAGGAGGCGGGTCAACTTGTGTGTGTGTGTGAGAATGACTGGGATTCACCTGTAATTTTCCACCGGTATCAGGATCAAGATAATTTTTTACATACCAGTTTGGAAGTACGAATTCCATAGCTATTTTTATATAGATTCACAAAACAATTGTATAAAAAATAAATAAAATAAAAAAACGAAGGTGATTATTTTTTTTTTATTTTTATTTATTTACCTATTTTTTTTACAGTACCTATTTTTTCCCATGAGAGGAGTGAACTTTTTCGGTAATGGTATTCATTGTTTGGTATAGGTGATGAAACACTCAGTGGTACAAATAATACTAACAGTTGGGCCTTGTAAACAATAACAACAACAGCTACAACTACAACATGTGTGATTGCAGTGCTTTGTATGTGTTGGTGGTGAGGCTACGTGTTGTTGGTACGTAATAATAATAATAATAATAATAATAATAATAATAGTAATAATAATAACAATAATAATAACAATAATAATAACAACAATAATAACAACAATAATAATAATAGTAATAATAATAACAATAATAATAATAATAATGACAACAATAATAACAACAACAATAATAATAATAATAATAATAATAATAATAATAATAATAATAATATAATAATAATAATAATAATATAATAATAATAATAATAATAATCTTACATTATAGAAATACAACACCACGACTCATAATTTCCCCACACGTCAAAATAATTTTTTAAATATTAAAAACAAAAAAAATATTCGCAATTAATATTTTAGAGAAAACAGAAAAAAAATTCCTTCACCCAGACGTAAAGAATAAAATATGATAATTGATCTTACTTAATTAATTTCAACCTTTAGTGAGACAGTTACATAAATACAGGAGTTTATTACAAGTTTTTAAAGTTATTTTTTACAGTTACCAAGAATACAGAGATATTGTTTTGACTAATTCTGTATTCTGTAATGTTGAAGTGAGTCGCTTTATTGTGATTGTTTCATAATGGTGAGGGTTTAATGTTTTCTTGGAAGTGGGAGGTCTTGTGTTTTAGTTTGGTTGTGTGTAGTGGTGTGGATAACCTAACCTAACCTAACCTAACCAAACATCAAGGAAGAACTTGGAGTGTTTATTTCAAGGGGGACATTGTTAAAGACCCTTAGTGTGTTGATCAGGTCATCCTCGCGGGAACCTTGACCTCAACAAAGCTTCAGGGGCACAGGAAACCTCTCGGAATCCTCTCAATTTAAACTCCATGGTCCTGAATTTCTTAAGAATCTCTCTCTCTCTCTCTGGGTATAACACAACGACTGCCTGCTTCTCGTACACTGCAGTAGTTGGCTAGGCAGTCTTACTCATCAGCTTTTGTGCCGTCAGGGGTTGAGTGAGTCAGTTAGATGCCTTCTCACGTCCTCAGCTTCAAGGGGGTTTATTAAGGCTCGAATTTGTGAGTCTTTGGACCCAAGGAAACTCAGGGCACAGGGGGAGGGGAGGGGGAATAACAGTAGGTATTGTAATATGGCCACCAATTTCTCATTCTACCCTCTCCCTCCTCCTCCTCCTCCCCCTCCTTCATCACCCCTTCCTCTCCTACCTCACCCCCCTCCTCCTCCTCTTCCTTACTAGTACACCCAACGTCCTTCAACTCTCTCTCACTCATTCTACACCCATCCACCCACCCACTCACCTCCCTCCTAGCCACCCACTCCGCCCACCATAGCCTCCACCCATCCTTCCTCCATTCACCCTACCAGCTTGCCACTCCACCCATCCTACTCTCCTTCCATCCCCCCCCCCTCCACTCACCCTCTTAGCCACTCCACGCCACTCCACACCACTCCACCTGCTGTATGCCTCAGCCTATCGACAAAGTTTTCCACAACTACCTTCCTAAAATCACACCTAACCTAACCTAACCTCACCCAATATCGCCTTGATGCCCGTCACAATACCTCGAGGTGTAGGGAGCTAACTTTTTACCAAGGGGGGAGGGGAGGGAGATGGTGGGGTGTTGAGAGGCCTAATAGTGCTCCATTTACTCCCCAAAGATCTTGATGGAAGTTCTGGCTTAAGGGTTCAGGGCTGGAGTGGGAGTTATCGCCCTTGGAGTTATTAGTCTGTGGTTATTAAGAGTCTTTGGGGAATTGTGTTAAAGGGATGTGGTTTTGGGATGTGGTTTTGAGATGTGGTCTTGGGATGTGGTTGGTATATACACTACGTTGTTGATGGTGAAATGTACTGTATGTTTTGGTAAAGTAGATCACAGGTTCAGGTTGATGGTGAAATGTACTGTATGTTTTGGTAAAGTAGATCACAGGTTAGGAGTTTCTCTCTCTCTCTCTCTCTCTCTCTCTCTCTCTCTTTTCCCTCTCTCTCTCTCTCTCTCTCTCTCTCTCTCTAAGATGGCTCAATATATACGCCAGCTTCCGTTGTCGACGTAAGAAGGAGCGGTGGTGGAACTCACTTCCTTGCTGCCTTGCCATTACTAGAATCCAGGTGCAGGTATCACGTACACCTGGGGAACAAAGAACGAGTAGAGGTGGTAAGGGATGGGGGTGTGTGGGGGGTGTGTGGGGGTGTGTGGGGGCAGTGGGTGGGGAGGAAGAGGAGGGAGGAGAGCTAGTCTGTGTGAGGATGTTTTGTGGTCTCTGCAGTAGCAAGGATACAGTATATTGGACCTCGGGGTGACAGTCAGACAGCTTCACCACCTCTCTCTCTCTCTCTCTCTCTCTCTCTCTCTCTCTCTCTCTCTCAGTACTGTAGGCAGGAGTACTGGGGTGACAGCAAGGCCCACCAGTAAGTAATTCCTGAGCTTTCCTGTCTTCTCCCTCCCTCCCTCTCCCTCTTTCTCTCCCTCTCGCTCTCCCTTCTGCCCACCTGCCTCAGTCACCCCTTCCATCAGGCAGGTGTTGCAGTGGCCGCCTGTGTTAATGTATGGTCACACAAGGCGGCCCTAATCATGCGGAAAGTTGCATTGTGTTGCATGTTTTCCTTGTGATGGTGGACAGAATCTCTCTTAACCTCACCTCACTTCACCCCACCTCACCTCACCTCACCTCACCTCACCTCACCTCACCTCACCTCACCTCCACCTCCACCCCTCACCTTGCCCTCCACCTCCACCCCACCTCTCCACCTCACCTCACCTTACCTCACCCCTCACCTTGCATACCTCCACCTCCACCTTACCTCCACCTCTGCCCTCCTCACCTCCTCACCTCACCTCACCTCCCTTACCTTGTGCCCTTCGTGTCCTTCTCCGTGTCCTTTAGGTCCCTTGGAGTCTGCCTGTTGCTCTTTCATTAGGTAGTGGCAGGTCCGTGGTCCTTAAGTTTGGTCACATTATGGTGCATTGATTTGGGTGATGGTGCTCTCTTTAATGCCGTAGTTAACACCATATTACCGTTAACTCTAGAACATCCTTCACTATCACCACCATTATCACTATCACCATCACTGTCCCTACCAACCCCCTCCACCTACTACCACCACCACCATCACTGACCACTACCACCCACCTCCACCACCACCACCATCACAGCCACTACCCAGCCCCCCTCCACCACCCCACTACCACCACCACCATCACTGACCACCTACTGCCCCTCCACCACCACCACACCATCTGCCCCAGCCACTACCAACCCCCTCCACCACCACTACCACCACCACCATCACAGCCACCTACCACCCCTCCACACCACCCCACCATGCAATACTACCAACCCCCTCCTACCACTACCACCACCACCATCACTGACCACTACCCCTCCACCACCACCACCATCTGACCACTACCAACCCCCCTCCACCACCCTACCACCACCACCATCACTGACCACCACCCTCACCACCACCACCATCTGTACTACCCCTCCACCCACCACCACCACCATCATGATACTACCCACCCTCCACCACCACCACCATCACTGACCTCACCACCCCACTACCACCACCACTGACCACTATCTCCCCCAACAGGAGGCTGGAACAGAACCAGATCACGGAGGTACCCAGCCGAGCCTTCGCCCCCTTCAGGAAGCTGCGACGAATGTAAGTAAACCACTATTAAACTTCCTTTATACAGTGAACCCTCTGTATAACGGACTTTCTTCTCAATATAGTCCGTTAAATAGAGGTTTTACTGTACTCTTATATAATGTAGTTTTTAATAGAGATTTTTTATAGTTTTTACTAATATTTTGTATATATATATATATATATATATATATATATATATATATATATATATATATATATATATATATATATATATATATATATATATATATATATATATATATATATATATATTTTTTTTTTTTTTTTAATGATGTAAAATATTTAGTTTTGATATTTTAACATTGTGATTTCTTATGACCAAGGTGAGGTTAGGTTAGGTCTTTACAGGTGTATTCTACATTAGTAACAAGTGAACGTGGGCCCTTCATGCCCAGTGAAAGTTTAAACGCTCGTGCTTGGCTAGCGCGCAACCTCCTTCCAGCTGACAGCATACAGTGACAAAATGGTTAATTAATGCCTTCCTAAAGAAACCATCGACATGGGACCAGGTTTGTTCCACTATACGAATTTTTTGCGATTTTTCCACCAAGTTTGATGAAAAACGATTGTGCCGTCTCGGCTGCCCAGAACAGACACACACACGGCTATTCCTATAGTATATTAGATTAGTGTTGGTTAGTGTTTCCAGGTGAGTCGGTTATGGGGGAGTGAACTAGGACTTGGAATTTGATTTTTAGTGAGGTAAGATATGTGGGGGGGTGGGGACAGACAGGCGTGGTAGATGTGTGTGTAGACAGGCAGACAGACGCAGTAGTTGTGGGCGTAGACAGGGAATATACTGTACATGATGACCGTGACGCTGCCCACTCTACTTGTCAGGAGTAACTAGGTAACTGCCTCGTCCCGTCGCCTCACGCCTTGTTTATGATGCCTCTTGTGTCTTGATTGGGTTGTTAGCTTGTCCTCGCCTCGTTACCTTGTTAGCTTGTCCTCGCCTCTTGGCCTCTCTCTCGTTGGTCTGTTCTCTGTCCTCTTTTTGTCCTCGTCTTGTGGTCACGTTAATAATCAGCCAGTATACTGTGTCAGCACGTCAGGCAGTATAGTACACGGGCATACACGGGAGGCACAGTATAGTACACGGGCATACACGGGAGGCACAGTATAGTACACGGGCATACACGGGAGGCACAGTATAGTACACGGGCATACACGGGAGGCACAGTATAGTACACGGGCATACACGGGAGGCACAGTATAGTACACGGGCACACACGGGAGGCACAGTATAGTACACGGGCATACACGGGAGGCACAGTATAGTACACGGGCATACACGGGAGGTACAGTATAGTACACGGGCATACACGGGAGGTACAGTATATAGTTATGTTAAGAGTGGTGGAGGTGGTGACGGTGGTGGACAGGTAAGACCAACCATATATGGGTTTACTTTAATTAACCTTTGACCCAGATTAACCTCGTCAGTACTGCGGGGCCTTTTATCTTTTCTTACTTGTTATCGCGGAAAAAAAATGTGTTTGAGACCTGAGTTAACCTGAAAATGTTGTAGTGTGTGTGTGTGTGTGTGTGTGTTTGGGAGGGTTATAGGCCTAGACGATATCCACCCTGTGATTCATTGATCCACCAACCTGTTTTGATTAGCATCCCGACCTCTGACGAGACATGGGGAAGTAGAGAAGGGTGTGTGTGTGTGCAGTCGACCGTCACGAATGGGTTAGTTAGTAGCTGTGGACATGAACTTGACTCAATCAATCAATCAGTCAATCACCCTAGATGTCATTCTCGTATCTGAGGTGTTGGAGATCATAGCCCACTCTATAAATGACTAAGAATATAATCCTCTTGTTTCTCAACGTTTAACAAGTACAGTTCATAGGTAAACCACGTCCTCTGGTTCACTCCTAACGTCATATTGTCTTGGGAGTAGTGAGGAACAGTGAGAGAAACACCTCATGAACAATGCACCTCTGTGATTCGATCTTCAGGGAGGGGTAGTTGCGTGTCGCCCCTCAATTACGACTGGATAACCTCTAACAGTCTGGCTCCTTCACACGTCATCTATCAGGTTATTGTGTTTCTAAACTACCTGTCGGGATTACCTTAGTGGGGTGTTGAGAGGCTGGGAGATAAAACTACCCTAACCTAACCCTGCAACACCTGGTCAGAGGAACACACCTTAACGAGCCCAGGTGTTGAGTCACATGATACCTGAGAGAGTCACGTGCAGGGTGTTGACATGTGTGTGTGTGTGTGTGTGTGTGTGTGTGTGTGTGTGTGTGTGGAGGTCCTCACTGTACCCTGGTCCCTACTTGCGTGACATGGTGACTCCTGCTGGGGACAAAGAGGAGGTGTGGAGGAGGTGAGGGAGGGGGGTGGTAGTGGTGTAGGAGGGGGCAGGTGTAGGAGGAGGTAGGGACAGTAGGTGAGGTGGAGGGAGGGGTGATGGAGGTAGGTAGGTGAGGAGGGTAGGATGCAGGAGGTGAGGGCAGTGCAGGAGGGAGGGGTGGGTAGTGGTGCAGGCACGTGAGGGGGGGTAGGTGAGGAGGTAAGGGGCAGGGCATGTGAGGGGGGGTGGGTAGTAGGCAGGTAATGAGGGGGTGCAGGGGTGAGGGCTGGTGGCACAGAGGGGTAGGCAGCAGCTAGGGGTGAGGGGGAGGGAGGGGGGGGTGGCTAGGCGTGCAGGTGAGGGGGGTGGTAGGGGTGTACAGGTAGGGAGGGAGGAGGGGTGGTTGTGGTGCAGGTGAGGGGGGTAGGGGGTACAGGCAGGTGAGGGAGGAGGGGGGGGTGGTTGTGGTACGGGAGGGGGGGTGGTAGGGTGTGCAGCTAGGGTGAGGGAGGAGGGGGGGTGGGTCAGGTGTGCAGGTACGTGAGGGGGGTAGGGTGTAGAGGAGGAGGGGGGGTGGCTGTGGTGCAAGTGGGGTGAGTAGTGCACAGGTAGGGGTTCGCTTCTTTCCCCATATCAAGTGAATTGGACGATTAACAGAAGTTTCATTAAGATTCAACGGACAATTAGATATAACGAACTTTTCAGGAGCAAATGTCCGGTAAAGAGGTTTCACTGCAAACAACCCAAGCCGAAGGACCACTGCGATTGTGGAAGAGCGGGGGAGTCCGGAGGTCACGCCAGGCGGAAATACGGTCCTTCCCTTCGCCTGGCGCTGATTGGATAATTGGTAGTGATGATGGTAGCTGGCGTATGTCTTCTTAAGCCTGAGTTTCGTCCACTTTTTGTCTTGTTATTCATTCACAACTGACGACGCATTTACTTCGTCTCCTTTCGTCCGTTTTCGGGGTTGAAGTGTGTGTGTGTGTGTGTGTGTGTGTGTGTGTGTGTGTGTGTGTGGAAGTAGTCACACCTTAGGTCTTGCTTCTTGTCGCCAGGTAAACGTGAACCATTACCTGTACCTACCTAATTACTCTCTCTCTCTCTCTCTCTCTCTCTCTCCTCTCTCTCTCTCCTCTCTCTCTCTCTCTCTCTCTCTCTCTCTCTCTCTCTCTCTGGCCTACACCTAGTATACTCCTACAGGTAACTCAATTTTACACACACACACACTCTGGACAATTGATTTTGTCGACCTTTTGCATTTCTGAGAATTATTGCCCAGAAATAAATCATTTCTTAGTTACTAATTTCCCGCTGTCAGAAATTACATAGAGAGAAAGTTAATAAAATGACTATAAATTAAAAGCTTTGAGGGGACGGGATTTTAGGTGTGTATGTATGTACGTGTGTTTGGGCGTGTATGTATGTATGTATGTATGTTTGGGGGGGGGATTGGTACGTGGTTTGTGGTAGCCATGGTTATTGATTGGTGTGTGTGTACAGTTGAGGCTTCAGTGGTTGGGTTTAATGGTTCGTGTTCGCTGGGTGTTGTTGTTGTTGTTGTGATGGTTGTGAGCTTGTGTGGGTTAGCGTCCTGAGAGAGTAGAGAGTCAGGGCTCTGGAGCTTTGTGTGTGTGTGTGTGTGTGTGTGTGTGTTTGTGTATGTGTGTGTGTGTGTGTGTGTATGTATGTGTGTGTGTGTGTGTGTGTGTGTGTGTGTGTGTGTGTGTGTGTGTGTGTGTGTGTGTGTGTGTGTTTGTGTGTGTGTGTGTGTGTGTGTGTGTGTGTGTGTGTGTGTGTGTGTGTGTGTGTGTGTGTATGTGTGTGTGTGTGTGTGTGTGTCAATACCCCCCACAATGAACACCTTCCTATGGGTTAGGTTAGGTTAGCTGCTTACGACCCACTGTTAATATATACTAACTCCCCTTCTCATCCACCTCACTCTTACCCACATCCACCCTCATCCACCACTGTTAAAGAGACAGACACACCGTGAGAGATAAACGTTCTATGTAACACTCAACAAGGAGAGAAAGAAAAGCAACAAATGAAATTGAACGTTTGGTCAGGGTGTGTAATTGAGTGTGTGGTGGGGGGGGTGGAGGGGGGTGGGGGAGGAGCAGTGGTCTATGGTGACTTATTGCTCTCTCTCTCTCTCATACTAAACTTTCCTTCCCTCTCTCTTCCCTCTT